GAAGAAGAAGAAGAAGAAGAAGAAGAAGAAGAAGAAGAAGAAGAAGAAGAAGAAGAAGAAGAAGAAGACACGACATACATTATACTTACGAAATTGTAGTAAAATTGTATTCTGTTGTTTATATATTTTTTTATTTAAATATTGTATGTAAGTTGAACAATATTGTATAAAAATTATATTTAAGTTGTATGATATTGTAGTTGTATATAACTGGGTAGAAATAATATATGAAAATTATAGATAAGTTGTATAATATATAATTAGTTATATTATATATATATATATATGTGTGTGTGTGTGTGTGTGTGTGTGTGTGGATTGTATATATTTTGTAACTAAAATGTGTTTAGGTCGGGTAAATACCAAAATATGGACATTTTTCGTAATAAGGTTTCAAATAGTATAGGTATGTCAAAATCTCATAAAAAATATCTTAATATTACTTATATTGTTATTTCAATTTGATACATCTAATTATGTCACGACCCAAAATCCACTAAGGGTCGTGATGGCGCCGGATACACTGTCAGGCAAGCCAACTCCAAGAAATTATTAAATTTCCAATTCTAGTATTCGTTGAAATCATTTACTTTATACATTAAACAATAAATAATGAAATTCATAGAAATAACCATGAAGTCTTTAACAAACTTAATATTGAATAATCCCAAAATCATCCCAAAATCCGGTGTCACAAGTGCATGAGCTATCTCTAGAAAACAATATAATACAACAACCGTCCGGAATACAAATTGGACAGAAAGTAAATACAGTAATCTGAAAGAGACTCTGCTGGCTGTGGGTCGTCTCGAGAAGTGCAGCTCACCTAAGTCTCCGTACCAACCATGCTGCTACGCACACTAGGCCACTAGAGATACATGTGCCTGTGCAACAAAAATGCATAGCAAGTGTAGCATGAGTACGAAAACAACGTGTACTCAGTAAGTATCCCGTCTAATCTCGAAGAAGTAGAGACGAGAGGTCGACTTTGACACTTACTAGGGTCCAATATTAATAATACCAATAATATAGAAAATCGGGGATTTTCATAAAAATGATTTTAAACTCAATAGCATGAGGCAAGTAACCAATTCTTTTGTTTATAGGAAATTTTGAAATTCATATTCATCATTTATACGTTTATCACAGGCCAGAGAGAATAAATATCAACATCTATGAATCTCAAGGCAAGCAATAGAAGCATGCGCACATCATGCCGAGGTCGTACAGCCCGATCCAACAATATTTAAACTGTGCACTGCCAGAGGGTCGAATGGCGCGAACCATAGATGTATCTATTTAATCTACTGAGGCGTTCGGCCTGTTCCACAATATATAAACACATTCAAACAGTCAAGCAAGAACTCATCAAGGAGCAAATTATCCAAGAAAAGGCAATTCCTCTTTAAAAAAAATCAAGAACGATGACTAGTCTTTTAGAAATCATTTACACGTTCGATATATTTTAAGCATTTTTAAATTGACAACAAGATTTCAAATATTGCAAGTAAAGCATGTTTTTGGGTCCTAAACTACCCGGACTTAAGCATATTAGTAGCCACGCACGGACTCTCGTCACCTCGTGCTTACGTAGCCCCCACAAATAGAAGCACATATCCAATTAATTCACCTATGGGGATATTTCACTCTTACAAGGTTAGAAAGGAGACTCACCTCGCTCCGAAGTTCCATCACCGGCATTCCACGCCCTTCCGAAGACTCAAATTGATGCACAACATTCCAAAACTAACCAATGATTATGTAAACCCATTAATACATGCTCAATTACTCATAATAATTCAATTTATAATAATTTCTAACCCCGATCGAAAGGTTGACAAAAACGCCCTTGGGCCCACGTGCCCGGATCCCGAAATTTTTCGAAGATAAAGTTTACCCATAACCTTACGAACTCAAATATGCAATTTACTCTCAATTTCATGCCCAAAATCGCTGGTCAAATCCAAGAATACCAATTTTCTAGGTTTTCCTCAAACCCCTAAATTTCTACCAATTTTCATGTTAAAATCCATACATAATCAATATATTTAACTCAAGATAAAATTTACCCATAACCTTACAATTTGATTGCACTGATCCTAGATCCAATAACCTTGTCTCACCCAGTACGAACTGCTCAGGCAATGACACTCCTAAGACATGATCAAAAGTCTCATATGCTGCCACAATGTGCCAGTAGGCCACAAGCTCGAACGTTATACATAAGAAAAATAAACTCTGGAAGGGACTACTCAACTCACACGGCTAATATGACCCTCCCTCGGAAAATGGAAAACAAAACACACAATAACTAGAATATAGAGAACGATTCTCAACATCATACCGTTGCGGCGTGCAACCCGATCCAAATAACATGCTCGTGGCGGCGTGCCACCCGATCCACGCATAGAAATCACATAATGATGTTTTAAACGTCAATACCACACAAGAGGTGGGGGGGTGATTTGTGTGGTACCTAATTTTCGCGTTAGAAGAACCTTGTTCTTCTAAGTGTTCTAACTACAACAGTTTGCGGAATAATAAATACTGAAAATAAAGTGCACATAGATTTTTACGTGGAAAACACCTGGCTCAAAAGGTGAAAAAACCACGACCTACTACTCAGTAGGATTTTCCCAAACTCCACTAAAATCACTGAGCCAAAAACTGCATTTACAAAACTCTTTGTAAACCTAAGGATTAACTCTAATCCCAGTGTAGCACACAGCCTCAACTGTTGCGACACTTTCAAGTTAACTCTAACTTGAATACTCAATATACCTATTACAATTGCTTCTAGATAAAGCTAAAAGGTACAATATGAAAACCTACTACAATTGAACTAGACTTAGAATAAATACAATGATGAACTGGTTCTTCTATCTTAGTTCATGTAGCTTCAGACGTGCACACTTGTATCTCGCATATGTTGCTTGCAAATCAGACTTGATCTTTTTGCTCTCAAATATGCTTAACTTCTGCTTATGTGCATCCACCTGTAAAAGAGAACAATCGTTATATTTATAGAGTTAGTAATCAGAGTTTGATAAGAACTCGGATTGTGGATCCTTTGACAATTCGAGTCCAAGAACAACTCTAACTCCTAATCCATATTCTTGATCCGGATGTAATTCTCTTTTCATAAGGAGACTTCAACTCCTTATCCTATATGCAATCTTTTCGATCAGTTCAGAAGATGTTCCTCAAGATATTGCTGCTTGATCTCAAGGACTTATCTTCTTCACGTGCACTTCATGTGTATGGGCCATAACAACTGTGTCTCCTTAGATGAACCTGGTCCTTTACTGAGTTCGTTTGTCATTCTTCAAAACTTCAACTGATCTTGGGCCAACAAATTCCCCCTTTTTGATGATGACAAACTCTGTGCTTTTACTGATTATAGAACCTGTGGAACTCAGCTAAAATATCATCACTTACTTATCATTAAGGGCCAGATTTAATTAGGTCATAAACATCACTGTTCATAAAATAGACACAATTTCTTTTTAAAGCACAATATCTTCCCCCTTTTGGCATCATCGAAAAGTTGCATAAATAATGTGATCTCAGTAACCTAATTAGTACTCATGGCCACTGGGGCAACTGCAAGTGAACACATGCTTTAGTTAATCAAAAATCAACTCAACACAAATACCTATTAAGATCAGAATTAACAAAAAGCAAGAAAAGTTGCATTCATTGATTAGCAAGGTGTTTCTACAATGCAGTCCACAAGAAGAAAAACAAAATTACCAAACCATGAGCAAAAGAAAATAAACAACTAATATCCCAAACTGGGTCACTGAGGGGGTCTAGACTTGTGCACACTAGGACAGAATATCTAAGGCTTAGAAGAGCTGGAGGGTTGGGTTTGTAGCAGATTCAGCATCTGTTGAAGCATGCTCTCATTTTTCTCCTTCTCCTTAGCAAGTTCAGCTCTCAACCCATTCCTTTCTCCCTCCAATTCAGCAACTCTGGCCTGAAGCCTTGCTATCTCAGCGTCTTTTGCCCCAACCTCCTGAACTAAGGCTCTGACCTACAATTCACAGGAGTTTTTACTGAAGAACCAGGCTCAACTGGAGCTGTACTGAGCATATAATCACAAGCTTGAAGGGTTTTGCTGCCAAAATGCTCTTTGCTTGAAGCCATTTCCCACTTTTTCAGGGGAACATTCAATCTTTCAAGTACAGTTGTCAAGATAAATCCATAGGGAATGGCATGAGCTTTTGAGCCATTGAGTACCCTTTCAAGCAGCTTTACAATAAAGGCAGGCCAGTTGATCTGCTTCCCTTCATTCAGGCATTGCATAAGAACCAGATCCATATAATTTGCTGTATGCCTTCTTTCCTGTCTGGGTAGAAGGCATT